TCTATCCATCCCCCCAGCTCTTTATTCAGAACTTCACTTGCCTTCTTAATTTTCCTTCACCTGGCCTTTAGGGGAGGACAAAGCACAGAAGAGAAGGCAGAGGCGTGGGAAGAGATGAAGAGAGAGCGTGGGTGGGGGAAACGATGATGGATGATTTGTTGTTTGGGTGGTTGTATTTTATTTTTAAAGCCTAAAAACCCCTGTTTGTTTCCATTGCCAACATAACCATAGGAAGATGTCTCTGCTCTTGAGTCGTTCATGGCTCATGGTCCTGTTCCCTGTGCACACGCTGTGAGGCCAACACCGCTGCTGGTCACCCCCCTCCTTGTACCCTGCCTTGTCTCCGTGGGCAGCTCTTTTTGGAGAGGATGGGGCTGTTCCCATAGAGTCACTTGGGTTGGGAAAGTCCTTTAGGATCATCGAGTCCAGCCATGCCCTGGCCACCACTGACCCACGTCCCTCAGCCCCTCATCTCATGGCTTTTGAACCCCTCCAGGGATGGGGACTCCACCACTGCCCTGGGCAGCCCCTGCCAGGCCCTGATCGCCCTTTGGGGAAGAGATTTCCCCTCAGATCCAACCTCCCCCCCCCCTGCCACAACTTGAGGCCATTTCCTCTCGTCCCATTGCTTGTTATGGGGAGCAGAGCCCGACCCCCCCTCGCTACCCCCTCCTTTCAGGAGCTGCAGAGGGGATGAGGTCTCCCCTCAGCTCCTCTTCTCCAGTTGAACCCCCAGCTCCCTCATTGCTCCCCAGCATTTGGCTGCTCCAGACCCTCCCCAGCTCCGTTGCCCTTCTCTGCCCACGCTCCAGCCCCTCAATGTCCTTTTTGGGGCCCAAACCTGACCCCAGGATTGGAGGTGCGGCCTACATGGCGTCTCTTGGTCTCTAGATGCCGCGCTAACTTACGACAAGATCAATCGGAGCCTGCTTCTCAGTGTGACACGCTGAAAATTGTCATCAAACAAGCGTTTCTGCCAGCCTGGCTTCCTACGGGTTTGTCCTGACACCGCTTCGCTGCCAGTTCTCTCTGATCTCCACCGCATCCTCCCCTCGTGACCCGCACACATCTCCACCTCCTCACCCCTGAAGTGCTGCCAGCTCCTCCTGGTGCGCTCTGCCCGATTGCCTTGGCCCGTGTGGCTGTGCCTGGCCAGGAGCTTTGCTTGTGCTGGTTGGGATTTGGAGATTAAAGAAGGCAGATGGCTCCTGAGCTCGTTCTGAAGCGTTTCCAGCAATGTCACTCTAATTTGAGGCTTGCCCCGCTCTGCTGTTGATTTTTCCTGAAAGATCTATGGACTTGCCTCTTCGAGTCTCCTGTTCCTCTGTCACGTTCGGTTGAAGCTGGCGAGAGAGCCAGAAGATATCAGGGCAGTCTCAGCAGGTCAGATGGGGACAGGGTTATCTTTAGTCTCATTTCTACGGGAAACCAGGTTAAGCAGAAGCAGAAGCCACAGAACGGAGGCATAGGCAGCGTCATTTTTAGGAGGGATGGGGCAGGGCACTGCGAATTCCTCCCTGGCAGTGCCCAAGGCCAGGTTGGACGGGGCTGTGAGCAGCCTGGGCTGGGGGAGCTGTGACCCCATGGGGGTTGGACTGGTGGGGTTTGGGGTCCCTTCAACCCAAACCAGGCTGTGGGTCTCAGATGCGTTTACCCCATCCTTGCAGGGTTAAGTCCAACCCCAAAGCTGCTCACTGGTGGTTGAGTTTCAGAAAGGTGCTGCATGTCAGTCCTTTCAGAGCTGTGTGTGGAAGTGGCTCGGGCGTTATCTGGGGTTCAGAGGGACAAAAGCAAGCAGAATCCTGGATGCACAGACCCCCTTTTGGGATTTGGCACGAGGGTCTCCTGTATTTGGCCGTGGCTCTGCTGTTGTCCTCCAGCGTGTAACAGCAAAGCAGCTTTTGCAGCGTGACAATCTGTGTAGGATATCTGCTAAATGCCACGGCAAACTGAACACTGCAAATTTGGGTTTTATTTGGGGTTTTTGTGGGTTTTTTCCATTTCGCAGCGCTCAGTGTTGAGTTATGAACTGGAGGTGAGGAGGAGGAAACAGAAAAGCACATTGGGAGTGGTAGCGCTTGCCCAGTAATGAGGATGGGGTGTGCTGGTAGGAAACCCCACAGCATCCTCGCTTGTCTTGTGTGCGATTCTGACCCCCTGCTCACAACCACGCGGTGCAGAGCGGCTGCTGAGCGAGGGCTTGGTGCTCTGACAGCGCCTGGTGTGGGTCTGGGGGGTCCGTGTTTCTGGAAGAGGCTGTGACCATCAGGCACGCAGCTTGCCCTGGCAGCCCGAGCTGCTGCTGGAGCGGTTTAAGCAGAAACGAGCCCTGTGGTTGACAGAAAAAAACCACCGAGCCAAAATAAACCGAATCGATTTTTAAAACGTTGATGCCCCATTCACTGGGAGAAGTTTGTCCTCGTCTTTGACTTTCTCCTGGCTTTTGGGAGGAGCTGCTGTTGTGGCCATTAGGAAGGGCCTTCCTGGGGGTGAGGTTATCGGGTTGTGACAACTCGATTTGAGGCCGTGCTTTTCATTAAGAGTTTGCTGCTGGCGCGCAGCCCAGGGCCGCGCTCGGCTGGCTAACGGGATTTGGACGGTGGTGTGTGTGCAATTGGGGTGCTCTGTGCCATGGAGCCGGCATCGGGGCAATCTGGTGCAGCGCCTTTGTGCCACGGCTGGTGCAGAAAATCACCACAGCAAGAGGCATGGAGCCGAACCAGGGCCTTGTTCTGTTTCTACAAAGAATTCAAACTGGTTTTGGGGGGAAAAAAACCTGGCAAAGTGGTGCTCTGAAATGTCTTTAGCAGCTCACACGAATGTCCTGTGCGTGTTCTTCGTTTGAGACCCTTCGTAACGCTCAGGAGCTGCGTAGCTGCGACTGGAACCCTGTGTTCCTTGTTTCGATTCTTATTAAATTAGAAAATGAGAAGTTGGAAGTAGGAATTTTACCCAGTTCATCACGTTTACTGCCTGTGTGCTCCTTTGGTGTTTAAGTGGCTCAAGCAATCCAGGTCTTGTACCCTTTTCTTTCTGAAAAGAGCACGAATTACTCCAGTATTCTTTAGATGCTCGGTTATTTTATTTCAGGTGCTGATTCTGTGAAGCTCGCGCCGTTTCTGAGTCTGGTTTGTGCTCAGACGTAGAAACACCAGGTTGAAATCGCTTTGGGTGAAACCCAGGCCCTGTACAAGCCAGTTGTAGCTGGTGGCTTCAGGAAGCCCTGGGTACCTCGGGAGCTGTGATGCCCACAGTGTTAAATTGCAGCGTTCTTGTATCTCTTGGTGATCTGCGGGTGGTGTGGAACTAACACTGCAATTATAACTGAGTGTGCTGAAGGGGACTGCTAAGAGCAGCGTATGTGCTGCAGAGGATGCTGCTTTCCCTCAATCTGTCTGATGGTTTTGAAGAATTAATGAGGAAGGAGCTCTGGATGATTCTACATGAGCAGTGTTGAGGTTTTCATGCCAGTTCAGCTCACGCTTTCCCTTCCCCTGGTTTTGTCTGTCTGTCCGTGCAGGAGCTCCCTGCTCTTACCCTGCCCTTCGCTGTCCCATGTCCTGCCTCTTCCCTTCGACCACCGAAATACCTCTGTTCCCACACCCTTAGGAGAGCGGCTGGGGCCTGGTAAGGAGCACATTGGCTTTGGTCACTTTGCATACGTTGAGTTGTTCCCCTGGTCCTTGCTGTGCTTCATCTCCCTGCACTTTGCTGCCCAGGCTCATTTCCTCCTCCTCTCCCTCCCATGGTGCAGTCCAGGAGTGCGCTGGGCTCCGGCTGCTGCTCAGCCATGTGGGACTTAGGAGCTATGGTTTGGCCTTCACCACACCGAGCGTTCCCTGAGTGGGCAGAGCTTTACCTATTTTGAGGACCAGTTTGTATCTTGTGTTGCAGGCACTGGACACGATAAAATACCAGTGAGGGGCTCAGCCGACTGTTGGGCAGCGCTGTGTAGGGTCGTGACTCTGTCCTGGTGTGACCATGAATGTGTTTTATGGAGGATCAAATGCACCGGTGAAGTGGGGGCTGCTCAAGTGACCCCCCAGGCTCTGCCACAGCCGTGTGGGTCGTGTCTGTTGTCAGCAGGAGATGTCCCACACAGCACAGTCAAAGGAGGTCGAGGAGGCGTTGGTCCTCGGCTGTTGAGGGGTTTGGGACCCAAAGGCTTTCTTTCCTTTTGGATTTTGAGTGTGGAGAGCAGAGCAGCCCCTCACATCTGCTGCGCTGCCTGCTGCTTGTAGCTTTTCTCAGCCACATGGCAGGATTATCAGTAAAGCTGTCGAGAGAACCTTTGACATCCGCTTCATAAAGCGAACATCGCGTTGGAAATTGCCTCAGGTAATTAATTAATTCTTCTGTAAATAGAAGGCTTGATACGCATCAATGGTGCTAGGGGATGTTTCTCAAGAGGGAAATAAAACTCTCTGGCAGGGCCTGTAGCGAGCAGTGAAGCACTCTTCATGTGCAGGAGGCTCGTTATCCTTCCAGCTTAATTCTACAAGGAAACAAGAATACAGTCTTCATCGTGGCGGATGATATTAGAGGGAAAGTACAACCGCTGATGAATGAATCCCTCAGGGACCTGCACGTCGGCTTGAGAGCGCTCTGGTCACAGGACAGCAGCATCCCAAGCTGCCCAGCATCGTCGTGCACGGGCGCTTCAGGTCCGGGATGGTTTGGGTTGAAGGGACCTCCCAGCCCCCCAGTCCAACCCCCATGGGGTCACAGCTCCCCCAGCCCAGGCTGCTCACAGCCCCGTCCAACCTGGCCGTGAGGTTCCTTAGATATTCCCCAAGCTGTCTGGGTTTTTTAATCAGAGTTTTTTAATCATTTCTCGATACGCTGGTAAACGCGGTGCTTTCTCAGTGATGTTTTAATTGCATTTGGTTGGCACAGAACAGTCACTTCCTTTAAAGTAAAACTAACGTGGATTTCAGCAGTACAGGAGGAGCACAGAGATCAGATCTATTGCTCAAACCGTGTTCTCCGCTGTCTCTCAGGTTTGGAGGGGCACCCTGGCTCGCCTGCGCTATAAGAGGACGAAGGCTGCCCTGACCATACTCAAGCATTACCGCCGCTACAAGGTGAAGTCCTACATCCACGAGGTCGCCCGGCGCTTCCACAGCGTGCGGCAGATGAAGGATTACGGCAAACACGTGCAGTGGCCCGCTCCTCCCAAAGTGCTGCGCCGCTTCGAAGAGGCTCTGCAGGCCATTTACCACAGGTACCAATGAAACCTCCTGTCTTGTCAGTCTGACCTAGGGGAGCAAACTGCTGCTTGTTCCATGCAGACTGCGGAAGTCACTGAAGAGCATTCGCTGGGTGTCACAGATGGAGGTGTCAGTGGCTTTTGGTACCTTTGACCAGGCAAATAATTATCACAGAATCACTTGGTTGGAAAAGACCTTTAAGATCACCGAGTCCAACCATAACCTATGTGTTATTCTATAATTACTCTGTTTCAAAGATTTAGCCAGGATGAGCATTGTCTTTTCTTCCTTGGCCCTTTTCTGGTTGGTTTCAAAAGAAAAGAGCAACTGGTTTCAGATGGTGGGGGAGAGAAAAGGAACCTCTTTGACTTCGTCAAGACTTCTTATAGCAAGTCAGGACTTTTCTGCAATAGAATAAGCAATGTTCTGCTCTCTACCCATACACTGTGTGCAGAAAAGGTGTTTTGTACCTTTATTACAACCTGCTAATGTGTCTTTTTCTCTGCTAAGTTGTAGCTAAAGCGGTTACACTTGCAATTTGATAAATGATGACTGCTGCAAGTCACTGAGCAAATGTTGAGGCCAAACTTTGTGAGTGTGAGGGTTATGGAGCATGGCCCAGGCTGCCCAGAGAGGTCGTGGAGTCTCCTTGTCTGCAGACACCCAAAGCCCTGGCCGTGTTCCTGTGTGACTGCTCTGGTGATCCTGCTCTGGCAGGGGTTGCACTGGGGGAGCTTTCCAGGGCCGTTCCAACTCCTCATATCCTGTGGTTCTGAGATGTGCCAGTACTTGTCTTCTGGGCACGGGACGGGGCAGTTGGAGATGATGTGTGCCTTTAACACGGTAACGAACGTTCCCAGCTTTGTCAGTGCAGGAGAAGGACGCCGTTGTACCCCAACATTTACGGTCTGGGGGTGTCCTTGTGGCGCTGCTCTGGCAGAAGCAGCCCTCGCTGCCGCTTGGGGCTGTGGAACTGATGCGGGTGTTCTGGCAGGTGGAGAGCAGGCGTGCTGATCCGCAGCGTCCCGCCTGAAGTGCTACCTCAACTGAGGGCCAAGGTTGCGGCCATGGAGGTGCTGAAAGGTCACAGAGCTGATATCGGCCTCCAAAGAGCCTGGGAGGGGAACTACATCGCGCTGGTGAGTACAAGCGAAGGGATCAACAGCACGGCTGGGCTTGGGTGGCTTAGATTTGAAAAAGTGACTGTTGGTTTCCTGGGAGGGAGAAGCACTTTGAAATTTCCACTATAAATGGGTTTGCGTATCTTCAGAGTCTTTGACTTCTGCTGCGCTAGGAGTGATTTTTCTGAATGCTAAGCCTAGCTTGAGCATCACAGGCAGCATTACAAGACAATGAGTAATGCCATCAGCGGGATCAGGCGGCCAAAGCTAGGAAAGCAGCCGACGTAAAACTGAAATTCCAGCTCTAATGGGATGTAAAGAAATAGCACAAAGTGAAAAAGAACAAAGAAATCCTCTCTAGGCAAGTTGCAATGCTGCCTTTGACCCCGTCCTTCCTCGAAGCGCTTTGTGTCGTTGAGGCTTTTTTGTTTGCAGAAAGCCCATAAAACTCCACGCGCTCTGCGAGGATCAGAGGCTGGAGGGAGCCTTGGGTGGTGCTGCTGCCGTCCTCCTCCCCAGCTGCCGCGGCGTCACCGACCCCTTTCTTCGGCGCTCGAGAACGGTGACGTGCCTGTCTGTGCTCTTTCAGAAACCAGATAACCCCCAGACCACCGGCTCCTTCATCCCCGTGGCCAACGAGCTGAAACGGAAAGACAAGTACATGAACGTCCTCTTCTCCTGCCACGTCCGCAAGGTACCCGGCGTTTGCCAACACGCAACCGGGGCGGGGAAACTTCTCATGGTTGAGGTGAAATTCTGGGGAGCCGAGGGGCAGGAGGTGATCCTGGAGAGGCTTTAGCAGGCGGCAGCTCAGAGCCACCCTGCTTCAAGGAACGTTTCCCTGGAGGAGGTTACAAGGCAAGTGGATGTCGTGCTTAGGGACATGGCCTCATGGCTGGTTCGGTGGATGGACTTAATGATCTTGAGGGTCTTTTCCAACCCAAACCATTCGATAATTCTACGATGATCAGTGATTTTTGGAGGGGTACTTAACTCCGGGCCTCTTGCAGCAGAGGGTGCTTTGTGTGAGGGGCTGCTGTGGCCTCGTCACGTTGTAGGCATGAATAAATTCACTTGCTTCTGTGTAGCTGGCGAGGTTTTTTTTCACAGCAGAATGGGCTTTTTCTGTTAGTGGTTGGAAGGTTTAAAAAATTAACTACAAAAATGTGCCTGCATGATTTTTTTATGGGTCGTTCCTAGTGATCTAATGATGCTGGTTAGAAGTGTCTGTCAGGAGAGCGTGTTTTGAAGCTCGCAAAGCCAACAGACAAAACCAGGTTCAGTGACAGGCCGGGGCTGCTGATGTTCAAGAAGCTGCATATTCCTTTTATTTCTATAAAAATGTGCTATTGTGGCTTGCCAGAAGTGGAGCATGAGCGTGATTACGGTTTATGATCCTGCAAATGTTCCATTTAACAGCAACAGCAAAATTGGTTTTGCGGCATGAAAATCTCACTTCGTAGCAGAGCACTTTGGTAGGGAGTTACTTGGTTTATACAGCAGCGATTTGTGTCTATAAGAATAGAAATCTCGTCCTGCTTCCCAAACACATAACATGTCAGTGGAATATTCTGTTGCTTTGAGCAGGCAGGAGCATGGTTCGTAGCTGAACGGGTGGTTCGGGTGGGTATTGGTGAGTATTGTTGGGATTAAAGGGGGATCGAGGGAGTCTGGCCCCAGAGCTCCTCTTTGCAGCGGTTTGGCTGGAACCCCCATTGCAGCCAAGGACGTGCAGGAGAATTTCCCCCGGCTTTTTTTCGACTTGAGGCTGAAGCCAGAGCGATTCCTCTTTAATTCGTTGAAGGAAGTTGTTCCAAATGGTTGCTGTTTCTGGTTAAACCGGAATAATTGTGAAAACGCAATATTCGGTTATTAAAGATGAGATTATAGGAATTGCTTTGCGTGGGAGGGGAACGGCAGTGAGGGGAATCACTGGGGGATGTGTGTGTGTCTAATACACCCATACCCGCTGTGGGGCTTCATTTTGCTCACCATTATGCAATATTTAAGCACTTAAGTCCTTATTCTCTCGCTTGCTCCTGGTTCAGCTTTGCAGGACAATCTCCTGCATGGGCGCAGGGTGAAGCAGGTTTCTGAAGCGCAGCCCCGTGTGTTACCCTGCGCAGGAACGTTGGGCAAGTGGCCCAGCAGTTCTGGTTGGTTTATGGTGTGTGAAGACGTCCTCGAGCGTACAAACAGGCCTGGCCTCTGTACCTCCTGGTACTGCCTTTACTTGTTGGAAAAGTCCATTTTCTGCTGGGGTAGAATAGGAGCAGCTCTGCTCTGACAAATGGATTAAATCATTTCAGCGTTGCTGCAACTTCTTGGGATCTTTATGGTGTGTGTGAGCCTGGCCGCTGCCGTGCACCTCCCTGGTCAAACCCAACAGCAAATGACCCTTTCAGATCCACCCTCTTTCGGAGCAAACCATTTCTCTTCTTTCTCATGTGGACAAGAAAGGTCCAGGCAAGCCTGAAGTGAAGCAAAGGGGAGCAGACAAACAGGCCTGAACTTCGGGAGGTTTGGCATTTCAAGATTTACCATTTCACCTTCCAACCAGGTCACTTCCTCAGCTCGTCTGTTGCGCCTCGCGTTTGGACATGGGATTTGCAGACCAAGCACCAGTGTGAACGGTTGCAGAGCCTGCGAGCGGCTCCGTGTTTTGACTGCGAGAACGCGCTATGGAAGCGGCGTCAGCCTTTTGCTCCTCACGTAAAACCATTCATGTCCTAAGCTGTCTTTTGAAAACAAAGGTGTTTCTCTTGTCCAAAGCACAAGCTGTGCTGTTCTGCCTCTTACCCAAAAGTTTGAGGGTCAGCTTTCAGTGCTGTGGTGGGGAAACGCTTCATTCTGCCCTTCCTTTTTTAAAAAAATGAATCATAAATCGAATCTGCCTCGGTGGTCAGAGCATTTGAAAGGGAGCGGCTTTCACCACAGGGATCTCTGTCAGATTTCTTGTGCTAAACCTGCTCGGTTGTGGATTTGCAAATTGGCCGTTGCTGTTTGGCTCTCAGCTGAAATTTGGCTCACGCGATGCTTTAGCAAGGGGCCGGAGAGCGAGCTACAGAAATGCAAACGTCATTAATTACCAGGTGATTTCATTGCTTCCCCTAAGTAACATTCTCTGACAAATCATCAGTCCCCAGAGGGAGGCTGCTTGACTCCATCTGTGGCGTGTTTTCGTGATTCAGCTTCTTTGGGGATTCCTGAGCAAGAGCTGTGCAGTTACTGAAGGTGCCGCTGGTAAAGGGCGCGCTTGGAGCTGAGGCAAATGTTGAATCTCTGGAGCAGCATCAGGCGTCCCTTGCGGCTTTCAGTGAGGTCCCAAATCGTCGTGAAGTATTTCTTGGCTGTCACCAGCAATGTTAGGAGTCTGCACTTTAAAATTTACAGATAATTACACTCTTAATACACTTTTTTCCTTGGAAAAACAAGGAATTCAAAGGATGAGGTGGCTGGGCAACGTGAATAGACACGAGTCGAGCCTGGAGTTCACGTATTTAAAATGTCTATATGTAGAAATGACCTGTGAGGTGTTTGCTAACCAGTGAACTCTTTGAGGCAGGTTCTTGGAGCTGCTGATTGACGTTGCCGTAGCGGAGCCGAGGAGGTGATCCCAGCTCCTGCAGCCACGGAGCTGCTCTTGAAGTGCTGCTAACGCCTGCTGAGGCTTTTGCTTCAGCTTGAGTGCGCGGGGGCTTCGTTTCGACAGCTTGAGATGAATAATAATGGGTGAGTCCGTTTGGACCCGAGTTCCTGTAGCTTTTTATATAGAAGGGTCCGTGAAGAGACTTTGAAGTCTTGCTGATGGGAGGCGTGCGCCTGCTTTCTCGCAGTAGGCATAGGTAGAAGGAGGTCATTTCTGCCTGTGGAAAAATACATCTTTCCTGAGCATTGCGGCGCTCTTCATTTTGTTTCAAAGAGAAATATTCAATGTTTTCTGCCTTGGGAAACCAAATGCATATTTCATGCATACCACCAGATTTTGTTGTATCACCTAGGAAACAACAGCTTCTCTCTTACTATTATTTTTTTGTAGAATAAGCCTTTTATTCCCACTTTCTCCCTTGTTGTTTGTGGCACCGCGCTCCCCTGGGAGGACCACATCCTCCAAAACCCGGTGCCCTGCGGCGTCCTGAGCCCCCTGCAAAGCTCCTCTGGAGATTTTTTTCTGCTAGGGGCAAGACTTTCGTTTTTCCCCATAAGCTCCTCAAGAAGCTAAATTGGGGCTGATTCGCATTTGGATCAACACAGATATAAATAAAAGATGCCCAGAAGGTGCAGAGAACACAATGCTGGGGAGGGCGGCTCTCCGGGAGGGGGTGAGCCGTGTCTGGGAACAGAAGGCCTGTCTCTACTCCTGCAAAAGCTGAAGAGTGACGGCATTTGCCGTGGTGCTGGCGCTTGGCCGACTCCTCTGTGCGCGCTTCCCAGAGTGACTTCTGAAAACCCAGCGTGTGTTATTTACGTAAACACGGCGTAGATGCACGGGGCACCTGAAGCAAAGCTTGGGTTGCTTGGAAAGAGCTCGGAGAGGACCATGAGTCCTGGAGCAGCCTGAATTTGCTTCTCCCATGAGATAAGTGCTGGACTTCTCCTCTGGTGCATCTCTTCCAGCTGGATTTATTGTTCAGCACGAACACTGAAAACAGTGCTTAACCACACAGAAGAAGTGGAGTGTCGAAGATTTATGATATTACATTGGCCTTGCAGAAGCTGGATGTGCTTTCCATCCCCCCTTCCTGCTGCAGGACCCTCTGCAGTGGGGTGGGTCTCGGGGAGGTCTCCCTCTGTCACCATGGGCACGGCCAACGCGGAGGACGTTGTGATGGGAACAAGAAGCAGGGTCATGGCAGCGACCAGGTGGTGTTGTCAGACTTTAAAGACTTTTTTGGGAACCATGGCCACGTGGAGCTGAGGGCTGGGGGGAGAAGATGATGCCCTTGAGACTGGAGAAGCCTTTTCTTGAACTCCATGAGGTGCTGTCAGCTGCGCTGCCAAATCGTGGCTTGAGGAGCCTGTGCTCAACAGCTCAACGTGTGGCCCCGCGCACTCCTAACCTACTTTCTCTGGGCCATTCAGTGTTTCATCGCCTTGACTTTTTTTCCTCCCATTCATCTGCTTCCTAAAATAATCCCAGTTATTCAGCATCTCTTCCTGGGAGATTTTCCAGGCCCTCGGTCGTGTTCTTTACCTTCTCTGACCCAGTGGAGCCTCCTTCGTGTTCCCCATCCCCGTGCTCACGCAGTGCCCCAAGCAAGACCATGGCCCCCAGGTCATTATCTCCCATGATTTTCCACACGCTGACGCCTTGCACGTTTCCAGCTGCCTGGCGTGTTTGTGCCAGGATCTATCCAGAATCATCTGCAGGTCCTTTTTCCAGGTTGGTGCTGTTAATTCAGAGCTGTCCTGTAGCTCTGCAATTTGCATTTCCTGCCTTCATCTGCTCTGAACTTCTCCCCTCTGCTGCCTGCAGATATCCTGTGTATATAGGCCTGAGGATATTTAAGTTCTCCTGACTTAACCTAGGAAAATCCTATTTGTGTTCGCCCACCTCGTCACATCTCACCCTTGCCCACCCTTCCCAGCTGGTCAATAAACGTCCCAGTGGCTGTGGTACTTCAGTGACTCCAGTTTCACCTCCTTGAATAGTTTCTGCTTTGTGCCCTGCTTTCTGCTGGATCTCCCCCACATCAGATGTTGCTGTGAAGGTATCTTACATCCTTTGACCGACTACACCTTTAATAAACAGCTGCATCGTTTTGCAGTATTTTTTCAGAGGTGCTTATGTGGCGTTTGACAGCAGCGTTGGTGTTTGGCTTTGTCAGGTACTGGAAGGTTGCTGTTACCAGAGACCTCTTTGGCGGCCAAAAATTAATTCAGAATAGTAGACATGAGTTCAGAGTGCCAGAATACCTAGGATTGAGAGAAATTATATCATTATGTGACCACTGGATGTGATTTGGGCCTTGCTGGGACTTTGCATCCCGGGCTGGTGCTTCAATAATCTCCTCTCCCATTGCTCTCACTACAAAGAAACAGGGTGCATGAACTGCAGCAGAATACTGGGACGTGGGGCTCTGCACGTGGCTGCACACATTGCTGCCATCCAGCAGTTAATTTTACCTTACCAGAACTTAAATATAACTGGTGTTTTTTTGTTTAAAAGGTTTAGGGTTGATCCACACACAAAACCCCATAAGTACACTGCAAGATGGAGCTTATTTTCCCCATCCCCTGAGTGGCTGCTCATGCAGACAGTAGCCAAGGTGGATAATGCTGTGTTTTGAGTCCAAATTAAAGTGAACCAACCTCTTGATCGTGTGTAATGTTAACCTGTGAGGGCTGGGACAGACGTACGCCGATAACCTCAGGGGTTACAGGTGATGACACAGTGGTTTGCTTCAGCAGGTAACTAATGGTTCTTTCCTGGGTTATAGCGTGTGTCTGTCAGTGGTCTTAAATGTACAGCTGTAGAGCCCAGTGGCAGCATTAAAATATTAAGATATTAATGTTTCCCAGCGGTGACACCAAGCTGTGTTTGCTGAACTGATAGAAACGCTCAGAACACGTCAGCTGCTGTGCATGGGCTGCTGAGCCCACGGAGCGATTTAGGAGGGACGGGACCTCAGGTCTGTGGTCCAACCCTCCCCCAACCTACGTGATCCTGTGGTTCTCCAATTTCTTGCGTTTCCCATTTGTAAAATGGGATTACGGGGTCCAGCTTCCCCGTTCACTCTTTCAGGATTTTGGAGAAAACCTGGTTAGGAGCTGTGTGAGTTTTGTGTGTTTGCCACTGCAGTTTTGAGAGTTTGGGCCTTTGCTGTGCGAGTTTTGTGTGTTTGCTGCTGCAGTGGTGTTCTCCGTGCTGTTGTGGTGATCAGTGGGACTGAAAATCCACTTCTTTCCAGGTGAATCGCTTTAATAAGGTGGAGGACAGAGCGATCTTCATTACTGATCGACACCTTTATAAGATGGACCCTATGAAGCAGTACAAAGTGATGAAGACCATCCCCCTCTATAACGTAAGTACAAGGGCTGGGGAGTCTCACCTTGGCTCCCTTAGTCGTGGGCAGTGCTCCTACTGTTTAGCTGTGTTTTCACAGCCACAGAATGGAAAAAGATCTTGGTTTACAATTTTTAATGTATTTAATGCCTTTAAAACAGTTACAGTGCAGTTATCATGTTAGCTTTTAACTTCAGTGCATGAAATCAAGGCTAAAACCCAAACTGCTCGTCGCGCTCTCTTCTGCTCGTCCCTCTGCGTTACCTTTTATTTGCTGCACACTTGGCCCCACAAGGGGGTTAGCATTTCACAGCAGCTTCTGACACAGTTCCCGTGTCTCTGGGGGTTGGTTTGATCCTTCCTGCTGCGTTTGAGTTGATTTATTTTATTTCATATTGGTTCATGTTTAATGTAAATCTTACCAAGCTAAATTGGGCATTACAGTGAGGAGTGTGGCCTTGGGGGTGGCAGAGTTTAGCTGCCAGGGACAGAGCAGCAGATTAGCACTGGTAGGAGAGGGGATGGGGAAAATGTCTCTTCTGCATCCCTGTGTGTGGATTCGACTGCTGGTTTGTTCTCCTCAGCCCGAGGTAGCACTACCACGGTTATCTCAAACCTACAGAACCGGGCTGGCGTGCTTGGAAGAGCCGTACACAAATCGCTTGGGACGTTTGCATTTGGAGCAGTAATAAATCTGGCAGCCCCACGTTGCTAAAAGAGCCAAGATGGGGTTAGGGGAACGGTAAAATCCCATCTGGATATCCAGTCCAGTGAAGGATGAGCGCGGGCTGCGCTCCTCTCCTGCCTTCCTGGCTGGGCACCCACCACATGGGTGGTGAATGGTGAATGGAGCTAAACCCAGTTGTGACCA